CAATAGGGCAGAAAGCCAGTGGAAAAATGCAGACAGTTTTTTAGTATTATAACTTACAGAGATCAATCCATTTCCTGTGACAAGCCTTTCTCCATACTGTGTTTTCGTTGTCTCAAACATAGTATTCAGGCTATAATACTACAAATCATTATATATTACATAAAATAACACCAGAAAAAAATGATAGAATGCAAACCTTTTTTGCATCCAAAAAGTCATGCATTGAAACATTGACTTCAGATAATGCTAGAGATTTATGTTCTACAGATTGTTTCCTTTCCTTGCATAACCAAGGCAAACAAAATTGACCGAGAGCACTAATTGCTACAAGAAATATACCACTTGCAAGAGTGACTGACAACAATTTAGGCAAAGAATCCCCCTACAAAAAATGAAAAAATAAATAAAAATCAGTTAAATAATGTACTCTGAACCAATTAGTAAGCATAAAATATAACTAATGAAAAAAATTCACTGTGAACACTTGTTTACTTATTTATATGAGTACAAGAAAACTATATCTTCGGCATTTATCTCAGCATCAGCAACTAGTTCAGTTTCAACACAGTTCTTCTTGTAAAGAAAATATGATCTTTCCCTTTTTAGGTCCTCAAAAATGGAACACTAAATAAAGTTCATTTTATAAAAAAAAAAAAATACTGGAAAACAGCATATTCTCCTGTTCACATTTGAGGATGTTATTGGAAGAATAACTTTATATATAGAAAGACATTATCGTATAGTTTTGTCTTCCGCTAAAACAATTTGTTGCTATTTTATCGGACCCTTTGACAAGTTTGGGAACCACGACACCAGGACAGTTCCCACAGATTTTATTACCACGAAATATCAAGTCTTGTAACTGCTAAATTTAGTGGATTTTAAGAAGAAAAAAAAAAGATAATTAGATTACCTTTATATTGGGCACATTGGCAAACTTAGCAGCCACACCACAGGATAATTGCTTATCAGGTAGCGAATAAGGATCTACATAGTAGATGTCTAGTGTTTCAGCCAACTGAACCTGCAATTTTTTTCAACATATAACTGAATGACATCTATACATGATATTAATGACAAAGTAAACACAAACTTTAAGCGACACAAGTACAACCCTTTCTATGGTGTAGGTGTGTATGAAATAAGTATATCTATAAACAGTGCAATAAATAAGTATGGAACTAAAACACCATATTCAAACTTACCAAACAAAACAGATATTGGCACAAGTAAAAGGCCCTATAAATTCAGAAATATTTCTGCAATTGTCCATGCATTGTATCAGAAATCTTTTTATATAATTTTAAAGTCTGAACAAGGGTCAACTAATTGTCCATGTTCCACTTTTTTTATATTTCAACTAGTGAATCTTAAAGAATCAAAAGTTGTCACTTGTCATGAGACTAACAAGTTCTTGGTTTGCCTCCCCCTCATTCTTCTTTTTCAATTTTTCTTCAATAATTAATTTTAACCATTTGTAATTTTTTGTTTGTTGTTTCCCTATTATTTTTCACTTCCCAACAAATTGTTGCAACTGGCTTTAAAAAAAAATTTAAAGAGAAAATTCAGATGAAGTTATTATACCTGTGATTTAATGGTTTTGGTGTGATATATTTTAAGGACTTACTATAGTCCAATTGTAGCCAAGCGGTTAAGGCATACTATCATTTGGCTATCTACCAAATTGAAGTGAATTCGGGCGGAGGCTTCCCACCACTTAAACAAGAATATTGAGCCAAAGATCGTACAATCTTATTTTCCTCTTTTTTTAATAAAACCGAATACAAAAATAAAGCACACTGCTAAACTTTTCTTAAATTGTCGAACCACAAGCCCTAATTGAAAATAAAAGTTAACACTAAAATAAGGAAAAGAAAAAGTACCATTTGAGAGTGGGTCAAAAGAACTTCCCACCTATTCTCTGCAGACTTCTTCCAGCCCTCAATTTTGGCATCTCCCATTATCTTGGCGTCAATTTCTAACCGATATGCAGGTACATACTCACTTGCCCAAGCACTGAAATCAGAACCACCAATTTTCTCTAACTTTTCATAACATGATGGCTTCCACCAGTGCACTGACTTACTTTTCACAGGCTTGAAGCCGTCCTTCATTAAATTATAGTTATCCAATAGACTCCTGGCATTTTCAACTATCTCATCATCAAATAATTTGGATAAAATAACTACTGAATCTTTTGATTGTACACTTTCAGGCTTTCGGAACCAGTGAAAGAAGCCAGTTCTATTACCACCAAGTGCTTGTTCAAAAAATTGTAATTGGGTGCTTTGAAGTGCAGACATGCAAATTGCTTCAGCAAGCACAGAGATAAGATATTCATTGGCCGAGCTGAGTGTAAAAGATGCAAGAACCTGCTCATATGAAATGCATAAAAGAACTTAATGCATCAGTATCAGGTCCACCTGCAGGACAGACATTATAATATGACATTACAATTTACAAAAGTAACAGAGATACCAAAACTCACAAAAGATTCCAAAGAAATAAAAAGCAACAAACCTCTCTAGGTGTTTCAAGATCCTCCATCTTCCGTTCTTCTCCTGGTTGAAAGACGTTCAAGTCATAGCTCCAAATCTGCTGCAAAACTACTTGCCGAAAGGTCATAGCAAGTATATTCTTAGACCCAGAGCCAGAAAATACATCTCTAGGAAAAGACTTCCTGAGCTTAATAGCTTTTTCTTTGACTTTCCTTGCAGGTAAGAACTGTCAAAAGAACAAGCTCTGAAATTCAATCTTCAAATTGCATTGCCACATGCTCCCACCAAAGACAACATACATAATCCACACCAAAATCATTTCAATAATCGAAATTACAAACACATCCCATGATTGTAGCTTAATACATATAAGCACCTCAACCATGTCCACACCACAGTTTCCTTGATACAACATACCCCACGTTTTTTGTATGCTGCTAAAAGCAAGTTATGCCCATGTCCAGAAAGCCATGAGACTAATTCCCCAAGAGATAGAGACCATCGAATTAGGTTCTACTACATCTCCTAATACACAGTCAAGTATCAAATCCCTATCAGCATGCTTAAGAATTCAGTTGTGAATCTACCACTTCTGCTTTACTTACCAGGATTCATCCCTAATGCACTTGTTGTTAGGGTTCCAACTTAAAACCAATTATTCCAAGAGATATTTAAATCACACAGGTGATATGGGACTTTCAACACATGTAGCTCAATATATACAAAATTATAGTCTAGTTTGGATAAATTTACCCATAAATTCTTATAGAAGAAGAAAATGAGATGTTTCTCTTAATGAGTCTGAACAAAGTTCTCCAGAAGCACTTCTAGTAGAACAAAAGCAAGAATAATTGAAAATTTTCTCCATAAACACTTCTAATACTTGAACAAATTTCTCCATAAACTAAAATTAGCTTATGCAAGAGTTAATTCGTACAAATCTTGCCATATAACTTCTCTAAATTATCATTTTTAACTTATACCTGAGCTAATTTTAACTTAGGGAGAAGTTCATTACATTTTTTTCTTCTTATCTTCCTTTCTTGTAATTTATGAAGTTGTCCAAAACATACTCAGATCTTATGCACTTAACTTATATAGAATTTATCTTGTTTAACTTTTCTAAAAAGTTGAATTACATAAGTTGATTTTAGTTTATGAGACAAATTATTGGTTTTACCTTCCTATTTTTTTTTATTTTGTACACAAATATGACAAAGTAACAGAACCTACAATGATTTTTTAAAACATAAACCGATTAGTTAAAGAACATAACAATGTGCTTTGACAGAAGCCACCGTTCGTTTCTCTGACAAAACATTTTTCGAAATATTTATCAATCTCCTTCCAAATTTCACGAAACGAAGCGCACAAGATGAGAGAGAACGAACCAGCCGAGTGGACACAGTGGCGTGGTTGCTTGAAGGAGCAGGGAACACGGTTTCGACGACCATGGCTTCTATGCCGGCGTCTAGGTGTTCGGAGGCAACTTGTCCGCCGTCAGCGGCGGCCGCCGACAAAGCTTGCTGAAAATCGACGGTTCCGACTAGAATGAGCTGAGACAAGTCGTTGTCGTAGGTTCTGACGCATGGCAGGTTCTTGCCATCAGAGACTGCTATAGCTTGGAGAACTTGCTGCTCGGTCACCGGAATGCTCTTCGGAGAAGAGCAGGAGAGGGTAAAGATGGAATTTCTGGAGTTGGTGTGGTGCAAAATTGGTGAGAATTTGGTATGGGGGAGAACAGGGGAATACAGTGAGGAAGCGGCCATTGCCATTGTCATCGCCGTCGTCGACGATGGTTCTGGGCTATGATTCAACGTAATATTACGGTATGTACTATTGGGCCACTTCTTCAAAAGTTGGTTCCACTCGGCCCGAACAAAAATTCTTAATATTTGTGAGTTATACGAATTAAATTGTAGAAGTATAATCCATAAAAAATCAAGCCACACTCCTCATTTCAAGAAGTATAATATAAAGGAAATGACTTTTTTTTTTTTTTGCCAAATAGAAATTTTGTGGGCCTATCTTAAATATTGGATTCAATTGGGCTATGCGCCTGCCATTGTAAGAATAAATAAGAGAACCAATAGAGTTGTCTGTTGATGTCAATTCTCTATTGCAATGTTGCTTCCATGTCCAAATATAACAAAGGGAAAAATAATGTAATGATAAATGCAATAGTGATAATTATAATAATAAATATAATAGTAATTATAACAATTGTGAGAAATACTATGATTATTATTTAATTTTTAAATAATTATAATGTATTCGATCTCATAATATTTTTCCAATTTAAGTCTCATTTGTTAAGATATAAAAAAGTAGGGAAAAAAAAAACAACATGTGTAATGATCTTCATAAATATCAATGTTTGATGGACATATTGATAAATGATTAAATTAAGTTGAAATATGATTTTAAGTTAATAAAATAAAAAATAAATTAAAAATTAATAAAAGGTTAAAAAAAAAAAACAGCTGTAGGGGTGGTGATGGAATGTGGCAATACATAAAGGTAAAGAAAAAGAGGTTCATTGAATTTGGCGTTTATTTCTCCCTCTCTCTCTCCGCTATACTTCCATTCTATTATCTTCACTATTACACGCCTCCCACGCACCCCCTCTCTCTCTCTCTCTCTAGGGTTCATTCAAGGTATGGTTCTTCGTTCGTTCTTTTCCCTTCAATTTCCTGGGTTTGCTTTGTCTTTTATTTGATTTTATTTCCCTTTACCCTTTGTACCTTTTGGCTTCGTAGAAAACTTGCTTAATATTATCTGTGTTTCCTTTTCTCCGGGTAATGAAAATTATTGTAATTTTGGATATGAACCGTTGTCTTCCCCTTGAGTTTTCATGTCGCGGATGCAACAGTGAATCGTTGAGAGATTAGCTTTTTTCTTTTTCTACCCGATTGATTCAAGTTTTAATAGGTTTCCTTCAAATTGTTTGCTCGCCGAAAATTCTAACAATAAGTACAATCAATTTTATTGTTTAGGTTTATCTTTACGTTTCAGATGAGTTTGGCCTTAAAAAAATAAAAAGAATCGTGTCTGCATATTCAATTTGTGGAACCTGGATAAGTTTTCATTTCAGTTTGATTTTTAATTGAAAAGCAGGGTTAAACTATGGGAAAAAGGAAGGCAAAGGCAAAGCCTGCTCCAAAGAAACGAATGGATAAGCTTGATACTGTCTTCAGCTGCCCTTTCTGCAATCATGGCAGCAGTGTAGAATGCCGCATGTAAGCACTTTTTGATTATTTGTAAGGGATGTGACCATGGCTGTGCGTTGTCAATATGCATCCAAGGACCGGAGGCATATATTTCTATCAATTTTTTTGGATGTCTTCTGTTTTGCATGTTATAGATGGATCTTACATTGTTTGAAGCTCATTTTTGGGTTCTTTTGACAGTGACATGAAGAACTTGATAGGGGAAGCTACTTGCGGGATATGCCAAGAGAGCTTCAGCACTACCATCACAGGTTTTTATCGATGGGCCTTGTTTGGCATTAATGGCGTTGACTTCTAATTATGCAGTTAAATTTTATTGGTCTATAATAATGGCTGGCATTGGATATGGAAATGGGAAATAGCTAGGTGGTATATATAAAATGCAACTTGACATTGGTGATGTTCCCTTGATTCTTATTGACTAAAATGTAGTTACCAGCATGTGCTACCTAGCTTCTAAGACCTCTTACCCTGTGACATTTTAAAATGCAAGGAGAGAAGAAAAGAAATTTATTCCTACCGATTATGAATTATCATTTTTGGTGGCAGAACACCCTGAATGAATTTATCTCGGTTTGTCACTTTCTTCTTTATGGCTATTTCCGAAAGAAAATGGAGTGTTTTACACCCTTTATTTTATACTCAGGTTTTAAAAAATAAAATGTCTGGCCATTTCTTTGATGAGATTTGGAAAGTTAAATATTATTGACAATTTTATATTTCTGCTGAGAGCACACACATTACAAATGTAGCTATTAACTATTCTTTTCGTGTGTTTGCAGCTTTATCAGAGCCAATAGACATGTAAGTTAAATCAATTAGTGGGAAACATTTCTCGTATTTCCATTCCTATATGCGCGTGTCGGTCATGACTCAAGGATCTTGTTTTCAACTATGCAGATACAGTGAGTGGATTGATGAATGTGAAAGGGTGAACACTGTGGATGATGATGCTTAGCACTGATGCTCAGATAGGTGTTCATGATGGAGTAACTGGCCAATTTTATATCTTCAACCTGTCGTTAGTCAGTTCCTGATGTGAGTGGTGCAACAATAAGATGTATGTAATAACTGAGTTATGTAATAGCATGTTCAAGAACATGAGAATAATTGTCATATTTAGATGAAGGCACCTTGATGGGAAGATGGTCTATAATATATAAAGATAAAGATTGTATTATTGTAGTATGTATGCTGGTTGCATATATAAAAGTGTGTATTTTAAGCCCTTTGGAATGACTTGGTATATTGGGGTTAATATGTAACTTAGCTTGGATTTGGATTCACAGTTAAATAAAAAATTTCCGATTCACCTTTTTCTTATTGATATCCCATTTTGCTCCAACTGGGGAGTACTATTTTTATTCCAACCGAAGAGTAGCTATGCTAACCTGAAACTAGTAAGCATTGTTCAAGAATCTGAAGTGAGATTTATTGGAGCCTGTTAGATTCTCATGGGGATACGTTCTAGCCAATTAGGATTGGTGATATATCAGAGGATCCCATAGAAACATCATGGAAGATATCATACTCCACTATTGTTAATATTATATAGATATTTTTACTTATTAGTCCTTTTGAGTCGGATTCGATTCAGGCTAAACTACGGTAAAGCACATAGGCCGGATAAATTTGGAAATTATTTTTGAGCATCTAAAATTGAAAAAGAAACTTTTATTCAACATAGAGAATTGCATAATGTGTAGAAACATGACTTGGCATGGCATAATACGCGGAAACATGATCAAGAAAGATCTTAGCATCAATCCTAGAAACAACTCTTAAGGAAGAAAAATAATAGCTTTCCTTCTTTCTCTTTCTCTGCTCCTTTTGATGCATCATATATTATCTTATCCTTTTTTTTTCTTCACCAACGTTCTTGATTGGGATCTTCACCACTACACTACACTGAAGTTGTGAGACTATGGAGAAAAAACAACTCTAGGATTTGAAAGAAAGGAGAAAAGTGAGAGAAACATAAGATGAAAAGTAAAAGTAAACAAGAAGAATTTAGGATGTTGGTTTCTGCAATTCAGATCACTCAGCGCATTAGGAATGGAGAAGGCTTCTTGTTTTGTACTGAGTCTGGTTAAAAAGTGAATCTTGTCAAGTCTAGATTTATATGCTCCAATGGGGTTTTCAAGATCGTCGTGATTGTTAACCAATATTTTAAGTATGGGAAACACATTTTGTAGTGGCAAATATTTGGGGTATGAGCCTATTGGCGTGTAACAAAAATAGACTTGGAACATGTGCTTGACAGAATTCAAAATCGGCTCACCTTATGAAAGGGTAAGATGTTGAATAAGACAGGATGTCTGTGCTTGTCAAAATCTGTTTCGACTTCTATTCCTACCTATACAATGCAACATTTATGATTTCTCGGGGAGTATGTAACCATGTTAAAAAGCGCATCAAAGCATGTTTATAAATAACACATTTTTATTTTAAATGGAACAGATTATGTCACATTATTTTTAAATAACTTATATTAAATTTTTACAAATTTTGCTTGAATAATATTTTTTTCAAGTACTCATTTAATATCTTACTTAGAACAATATCTCATTTTAGGCGTAATTAAATATTTTAATATATATCTATTGAATAAACAAAAAAATAATATTTAAACCATGAAATAGAAAATATAATAATATACATGAAATTATATTTCTCATGTTATTATTATCAAAAATAAAAATTAAAAAATATTTATCATTATTTTTTAAAATAATATTATTATTATTTTAATTATTTTATTATCAAGAATAATAATATTTTAATTTAAGGAACACACTCAATTACAATAAAAAATAAAAAATAAACAGTGTCATAGGATAAATCTTAAAGCTGTCTTTGAGCTTGATTACTCCAAGGTTGCTAGTACAGGGACTCTACTGTTACCTTATTTTATTGCTTTTGTCTTGTCTTTCATGTGTACCAAAACAATGGATTGTATTTTAACTAGAGAACCAACTATTTATTTAAGCACGAATTGGGAATTTGACATTATTATTAACGAAAACATCCATTACAAGGAGTAGATGAAATTTGTTCAATAATCCAAACACTTTTAAGCATAATTACAGGATAGGATTGAATAAAATGACATGTCAAAACGCTGACAATGAATAATCTTCACTAGAATAGTTTATATTCTGTTTTCATTTTATGCGGTAATTATAATATATTTTAAAAGGCACTATAAAATGTATCTAATTATAAAAATAAAGGGTAGATTACGGCATTTATTCTAAAGAAATTAGTCATATACTTACCAAGGATCTGGTAGCTTTTTCAATGGCTCTTATTCAATAGTCTATTGATGCACAAAACACTAGCAGTTACGTTTGTAGGTGAAGAGAAGATCCAAAGCGGTTCAAGACTACTTTACAAGTGCGACTAAAACATAGATGAATACTAAACAGTTGTCACCAACATTATAAGAATAGAAGTAAATAAATTTTGAGGAAATAAAAATATAATTACTATATCTACAACAACCACAATCATAAATAACTCCAAAGTTAATCGGATCAGATGCCGAATGCAATGTCTAGATAGAAGTGACCTTGTACCCAAAAAAAATAGATCAAAGCAGGTGATTATCTGTGCTGACTTTAGAACATTTCTTTTTTCTTTCTGAGTTAAAGATAAATTCTCATGAAGGGCCAGAAACATTATTACACAGCCAATATTATGTGCCCTAGAAAGTCTGTCGTTAAGATTGCATCTAACCCCTCCATACTTGCATGATTTGGAATATAAAGAGTCAGGAATGAATTACTGCAGCTTTGTGCTGATGATTTGTAGCACTCACCATTTGTTGGTGATCTTCCCAAGTTAGAATTTTGTATCCAGCAGCCTCTAATGCAGCACTCATGTGAGAAAGAACTATTCACAATGTCTTGACAAGGAAAAAAAACCACCTTGTCTTGTTCCTAAGAAGAAAAAGTGAAAAAGAAAAAAGACCAAGTTATGCGAGGTTAATGATGTCACATATAGTCACTTGTGTTGTCAACAACAAAGTCATATGGTGAAGTTAAGCCGTATTGATAAGGTGCATTTAGTAGAGCAACTCTGTTAGAAGCTGAATAAACACCACCTCCTATGCCAAGCTTGGTTCTACCTTTGGCAGACCGTTTGTTACTATCAGAGTGAAACTCAGCAGAGAGGCTTCCCATGTGCTTCTGCAGATCAGCAACCGAATCACCTGTTATTATCTTTGCCTTGGAGTTCTTCTTCCCATCAACAAGCTTTAGTTCTAACCGGTATAAGGCGCACGCATCACACTTGCTAATTTCATACTCATAAAGGTGCCACTCAAAAAGGTTCAGAGGTTGAGGGTCCATGTAATAGGATCTCTTCAGCCCTCCAAACTCATTCATCACTTGCTTTCTAGATTCATGCCATCCACGCCCACTATAGTCCGGCAGTGACCTCTGCTTTCTGTTCCCACTCTCAAATGCCCTTCTAGGCTTATCAAAGAAAAGCCACTCCCTAATAGTCTCACCCTCCAGAACACAAATATCAAAGAGCTCTGCAAGCAAATGAGAAATTATCAATTACTTAAACTAGAGCAACATTATTCTCAACTTTTATATATATGGCGTCAACTAATCACAAATTACACAAAGTATAACCTTTAAAATATAGTTTAAATTTTATGCATTGACAATGTAAAGAGTTGTTCCACGGCCAATTAATCAGAAATCATTCGAGACATGACTTTTCAAGGTAACTGTACAGTCAACAAACTTAATGTTCATGGCCATTTTTGATATTGACCTTGGAAAAACTCTTTATACTGATAGTGCACACAGTCTTCAGACCAAGTATTTCAAGAGTCAAAAATCTTATCATATATGATATTCTGATTGAATAATATACACGATTGGTGATTCTAATTAAATTCTGTGATAACGGGACATCAAATTTAAGTTACCAGGTGCATTCCATGGAGATTTTGCAGTTGCTGCTCCCTCACAATCTGGGATGCCAACGACTTTTCCTTGTGCCTTTGCACTAAGAGCAGCAAAAAGTAAATTATCCTTGAGTCCAATTCCCCCAGGTCTTAGAACTGGGGTCATCCCTGGTGGTCCTTCATTTAAAGCAAGAGCAGCATGAAAGCTACTGCAATAATCTTGACACCAATCCAACCCTTGAACAGGTCTTGGACAGTCCCAAAGTGCGCATTTTGGGCCTAAGAAAGCAGAAGGAGGAGGACATACACTTGGAAGATAGCTAGATATGTGAGGAGCACTACCTTCCTCACAAAAACCTGTACCAGCATAAAAGCTGTGATCCAATTCTTTATTGAAATCAAATTGGTGAAATTCTAAGGCAGGTCCATCCAAGTTGTTAGCCGCCATGCTGGGAACCCCTACAGCGGAGTGTTTGCATTCTTTAAGTAATATGAATTCTTGTTGATGTTGGCCCTGATTTACAGTTGTACCAAGAAATCCATTCCAATTATGGTGATACCCAAAATGCAGACAGGCATTGAAATAATGAATAGAGCTATAATGCATAAGAACTACTTGGGCATAGATTTCTAGGGGAGAACTGTCTTAATTCTAACAAAGGACTAAATCATCAAACCCACTCATCATCAGTCATTTTAAAAGTCAATATTCAAAAAATACATTAAAACTTAAAAAGAAAAGCCTGACACGTGAAAGATAAGATGTCAGGTTATAATCTTTTTATTTTTGTTTGCATCAGAAGATATCCACCATTCTGAAGCACCCATTATTCTATATATGAATTTAAAATAAGGCCCAAAATAGATTAATTATGGCGAAAATGGATGAATAATCCCCAAAAGGAAGCGGACACGCACCTCTTGGACTATCACCTTAGCCCCAGCCTGCATAGTCTGATCATTAGGTTCAGGCTTAGGTGTAACTAATGGACTAGTAGCATCATCTTCCTCCTCACAAAGCTGCAATAGCCTATAGACATCGGTCGAGAATGAACCAAGACTACCACCCTATAGTCAACCATACAACAGCTCAAATCATTCCTCACCAGAAATATTGTCATTCAAAATTCACACGTGTCAACAACAAATTCACAATTGGGAAAACTTACTTGCTGCAGAGAAGAAGATGGAGAAGGCTCATTGAGCTCAGCCTTCCACTCACGAAGCATTTGATGGACTTGCTCCTCAAGGAGTGCCACATCAATTGTGCGGCTCTCCTTTCTGGCAAACTGTAGATCCAAGAACATGACATGTAGATCATCAACATGGTTCCTTGCCTTGTATTTAAAGAGCCTGTGTGATGCTGACTTGCAGCTGCTCTTGGAAATTTTCTTCATCACAAAACTTCAAGTCCTTCCTACAAGACCCTAGGATCACCAATATAACCGAGTTTCAGTCTACCACATATAGAAACTTGGAAAAAGAGAGAAAACTAAAAGATGAAAACAACTTCCAGATAAGTTTATCATGATCATTGTCATTGATCAGGAGCATATTCCAGCTCACCCCCCCCTCTCCAACCCCACCCCACCCAAAAGTCCAGAGATTCTAAAACCAAGATTCCAACATCCACATCACAAAGTTAAGTCAAATTGTAAAAGATTCAACCCCATTTTCAATTTACTAACTAAAAAAAAGGCAGCATCACGAGCGCATTTTCTGATGAAAACAAAAACATAAATAGAGATCAAAATAATCAAATTATTTAGAAACAACTTGAATAAAATGAAATTAGAAAAATAAAAAGATTAACCAAAGCCAATAAAAAACATTGAACAAAGCATCAGTAAAAACAATCTCCAACTCCGAAGCAGAAGACAATATTATCTCGAAGGAACACAAGTGCACAGACACTGGATGCAAAACCGACCAAAGTCATGACCGCAGTTTCAGCCAATAGACCTGGTTAAGAAAAAGAAAAGTCATGCATGCTCACCTGAGCCTCCAACTTTTCTATTAAAGCTAGAAGTTAGAAGGTTCAATACTCTCTCTCGCTTCAGAATAAGATATAAGGTGAGAAACTCATATAAAGAGATGGAAAGGGAGAAGAGAGAGAAAATGCTTTCTCTCTCCTCTCTTTCCCTCCCTCTCCTTCCCTCTCTCAACTGATGAGATCAGCGTGTGAAAGGGGACAACCACAAAGCACAAAAAAGCATAGGGACATTGCAGTTACAGTGAAGTGAAGATTGAAGAATATATGTTGCTAGATAAATAAATATTAAATATACCCAATGTCTTACCCGAAATAACGGTTATAACCTCCATTATTTTATTTAAACTTTCATAAAAAAATTTATCGTTGAGCTGGGTTCAAAAGTTTATTTTGTTTCTTCAATATATTAATATTCGATCATGATATTGATTTTTTCATAGTATGTTCTTTTAATATTTTGTTAGGAAGTTATAATAATGTTATTTGCATTATAATATATATCTTTCGAATGCACTAATGAATGTAGGTTAGTAATTTGGTGTTAAATAGTCATAATTGTCGTTGACAAGAACTATTATATATTACATAGATTTATAAACTTATCAATAACTAAATCATTATCCAAAAAAGGCATAACTTACCGTAAAATACATTTTTTATTCATGTAAATTTTCTAAAATATTAAACATGTCGTAAAAAAATTGTATTATTTTTTCTCAAAAATTTAAACATATTTTTTAGTTTCTCTTAAATTTAAGCATATTTAGTCGGTCTTTATTAATAATAACCATAGATGAAAAACTTACATGAATCACTGTCTTAACATAATATCAAAATCACTTTTAATTATAAATTTATATATTAAAACTGTCATCTAGATGAGCTTTTCGTCTGTCTACATTATTAACAAAATTTTACTAGAAAAAAATATAATATAAAAAATTGGATAAAATATTTTAAAAGAATACAAAAACACTTTTACCCTAAAATGTATATAAAACATAATATTCACAGTAAAATTTTAACAAAACAAATGTCTTTTCAAAGTCAAAAATTGTTTTCTCTTGGGATATGAGATGTCGTCGTCTCATAACTACCCCAATATTGTTACTTATGGGATAGATCACGTAAAGGAGTGCTCCTTCAATTGAGTGTTACCAAGACGATTGCTAACTTTTCTTCTTCCCAATAAAACGATGTATACATTGCTTTATTTTCTTAGTAATGAGTAATGAAAAAAATATGGAACAATGTAAACCAAACTTCTTTTTATGTTCAATAACAATAATAATTTACATTTTAAAGTATAAAATGATTTCAAAGTTGATTTTTGGTCTAATTAATGAAAAGCGAATAAGCCAATGAGATACGTTTTCCTTTTTGTTCTTTGTTCAATCTTCTCCATCGGTTTTACAAAATATTATTTTTCAACTGTGTTCGTGGTTTCAATGAAATGCTACAAAAGGGAGAGAAAAAAAAAATGAAGGAAATAATAGAAAACTGTAGAAAAAAAAAAAAAAAGTGAGATTCCTCCTGGCAAAGAGTACAAATTAAGAAGAAAATCTTCTATTGGGTGAATGGTGAAAGGAATGAGAGTAAGGAAAGAATAAAGTACTCCTCCACTACCGTCCAACATATTCCTGTTTTGATGCCTCTCTTAATGGAAGAGCTTTACAGGGGCACTGCTGAATGGATACCATATGCACCTGCATCCCATGGTTTATCATTCGGTCGGACCATCCACATGTCATGTCCATAACCCTCTATTTTCCCAAAGGAAACTAGATAGAAGAGGGAATAGTGAGGTGGGTGGTTGTGCTCGCAATCAATTTGACGATCAAATGCGATGCGTGGATATCTTTTTCACCAAACTTCATACTCACATGAGTTACTTCATTATTTTAGCCAACCAAATGGTTACCATCATCACAAACACATCACATTGCCTGAAATAAATTCTACAGCATGCTTAAATTAATCAGGACATGAGGCACTTGTCATTCTGTAATGCAGATAAGTGAAAGAGAAAGTGAGAGAAAGTGAATTCAGGAAAAACGAATGTTCTTTTCTTTTTAAAGAATAATAACAAGTGGACTAGAGAAGGCAAAGGGTATATTTGAGATGACGCATTTTCTGCTCAATTGATAGCGTCACCTCTTAACCACTATGAATTATACAGTCCCTGCCACTTATTTGGCCAATACAATTTCAATCTGCCAGTTATCCCTCAAAGAGAAATCGTAAACAAAAAGCCAATTAATGCCTAAATAATAGGCTCTTCTTGAAGAGACTCTCAAATTAATCAGAGATTAAGCCTGGATTACATTCATCCCATAAACGAATGAAAAAAAATGTGATAAAAAAATTATACTGTTAATCAGCTCAAGCAGTTTTCTCCGCCTTCCCAATTTCTGTATTATCTTGTCTGAACTTTAGAATGCCAGTCAGTCCTCGCCCCCGGGCAATCTGTTCCAATTCTTGAATTCTTTGCTTAAGAAGTTCTACTTCTTCCGCCAAACTCTCATTTTTTTGCCTCACAGCCTGAAAGTAAACAACGTTTGGAGAATATTAAATATGAAACTTTAACTATTAAATAACTTCTCCCAGTTAGCCTGAAGTGGGAACCAATGACAGTAACAATGAACTGTTTAGAGTGGTTTTCTATTCTAGAGCAAGAAGAAGGACAAATTGCCGTAAATTATTAAAATTAAAAACTTTTCCTTTAACAGTAGTTTCAACAAAATCCCAGTTCAGATAGCCAAAATAAACTCTGCCTAGCCAAAAAATCTATCCTTGATTTACAATTCAGACTTCTAAAAATATCCAGTCCAACAGAAAACACATTGACAAAATCCTTGATGTTTTCCTCTTGTAGAATTTTCACAAAAAGGTCTTGCACAAGCCACTTATGTATCTCATTCTCAAATTTGGTAATTAGTATGACTGTCGATTTAACTATGCAAAATAGAGTTTATAAAATACGCATCACTAAAACACTAATGCAGCCTTTGGGCAACAATTACGTAATTAGGAATTGACGACACCAACTGAGAAATATAGGGTTTGAATCAATCAAAAGCTGAAAAGTTTGAAATTTTGTATCTTGATATCTTCAAATATGAAGCCCCATGCATCATAACCTATCAGAGGTTCCGGTCAGCCCCTCTAGAATTTTTCTTATGATTCATAATGTGATACTGGTCAAACAGTTCAGCTGCTCTACGGAAGTTATAAGTAAAGGAGTAAAGTAAACCGTTAGGTTTGAACTAGCAGTATTTGGTTATTTGTTTATCTGAAAGATAAATTATTAAAAGTTAGAAATGAACATAAGAATACATAAACCGCTAAATGGTTTTTAAAATCTTCAGCATAAAGTGGGAATAATCCTCCAATAATAGTAACAATAGTAAACAAAATCAATCAAGTATTCAATTTGATCAAGTTGTTCTATTTCAGTAAAAACCATGATTAAGCAAAAAACTATAATATCACAAGATGATATTGTATTAGTATAACATCCTCCATTGTATCAGAAAAAGGGAGCAGAAAAATACATATAATATGTTTAGCAGATGAAGTTAGGAAGCTCGATAATTGATAAGATAATTAACCATAGAAAAAAATAACATATAAACAAAAGAATAAATTAATTTGAAAACAAGGACTAAAAGAAATAAACAACTAGAAATTCCTCAGATTTGAAACCGAATGAAACACATAATGCTAAAACCAGTATTTTAAAAACTGAACCAGACCGGACAATTCAATCAGTCTAAAATTGGTCTATTGCTTTCAAATAACTGGATTTTAATTAAACCAAAAAAACTATTACAAAACCGAGAAAACCGGTTGGATTTTTAGGTCGAACCAGTTTTGATAAAAAAAATTTAAGATCAAATATTTTTAATATAATTTTTTTATCAAAGATATAATATTTTTAGTATTTTTTCTCTCTTTTATCTCATATTAGTTATGATAATTTTAAATAATGGTTATTTTATTGTGTTTTCATCTTATTTTAATAATTATCCATCTTATGTTTTCTAATATATTTTATATTTGTAACTTTTATAAAAAACAAAACTTTTATAACTTTTATTATTTTTCTTTCTTTTGTAAAAAAAAAAAAGGTTATTACTAATAAACTTATTATAACTATTGGATAAAACTATTTGCATATATGATTATTATTTTTGAAATTACCGCCAGCTCTTGCTTTCGTAGCTCCTCTTTCCTTGCCTCAGATCTAGAACTCCTTTGAACCTCAAAGATTAAGAGAATTCCTGCAACCTATGAACATAGCACATAGCCACATCAACAAAAAATAAATGACAAACTGTGAGTACATATTATTTAGGTACAAACATAAAAAAAATTATTTATCTTCTCTTATCCTGTGTTTGAGGGTAAAAACATTCCCAACATGGTAGTATCTTTTTGTTTTGTTGTGATGGAGGTCATCGTGGTCTTTGCTTATTTGAAGGAGACAACTAACTAATAGCAAGCCCCCAACGTTTATATCCCTAAGAGTCTATTGCTCCTTCAGTGAAAATACTGCTTTGGTTTGCAAAGCTGAATTCTCCAGAACTACGATCAAAGCCTTCAGCTTTAAAGATCACAACTCAGAAGCATTTTATCTGGCCCTTAGTTCATAAGCAATTTCTTATTTCAAATTTATGAGAATATTTGTTTAATTACTTTTAAATAAATACTTAAGTAATCAATTTCCTATATCTATAACTCCTCTCTTCTTCCTCTCTGCCTATATGTCTTCTCTTGGAATACTTCTTGTAACCATTCTGTATCGTTAGTTTTATTTTTTACTTATAGATGTAATTTTGTTAACCACTTATCTGAATATTGAACAGACATAATTCAATCCTTTTTATTATTTGGTGAAAAGACATAACTTGAACTAATCCAACAACTGACAACAAAGTACCACTAAATTGAAAGTCAACAACTTGTATCAATTGTTCTGATAGCTTTTCTGCATAGCATAATTTGGTTTTCCCTCCACTCAAACAAAGTATCAGAGTTACAACTATCAAATTCTAGACTTTCGCTAAACTCAATTCATAAACTTGAATGAATATTAGACGCTCCAAATTCCAAATTTATAACAAACCACTTGGAAGAAAAAGAATTAAAATATAATTCAATACTTGACTGAACAATTATTCTAGGCTCCACACTTTCATTATTCTGTATTCTGCCTAAACAGAACAAAAATACATAAAATTATATTCATAAACCTAACACATTTCATAAAAAAGGCAACTCAACATACGTGACCAACAAAATTATCAAAACTCTTTATCCAGAGTAAAACCATGGGTAAATTCAAAATAATAAACATGCCAGTAGAGTTAAGAGAGTAACTAAGTTCCCTAAAGTTTGCCTAAAAAACTTGAGTTTGAAAACAGGAGTGCTTGTGTAGGAGTTAAATCGTTATTCCTAGCATGGTAAATGCATAGGAATTTAACAACCATATTACCTACTCAACCAATAATAGGAAACCAAGGCTCACACTTAAGTACTAAAGCTGACTGCCCAAGATTCCATAACTGTCAGGTTAAGAGCTGGCCCAACATAATTTTAGGTCTAAAGCAAATTTTGAGGTGATGATTTTTTTAAAAACAAATAATAAATTAGAGGCCTTGCAAAAAATAAAAGTAAATTTTCGTTCAGCAGGATTTGAACGACATTCATTAACGAAAAGATCAACTTAATAACCACTATATAAACCACCTAATCAAAAGTTGCATAAATATTATACTACATTTTTATTTTTTTTCAGAGCCTAAACAAGGTTCAGATCGCCATAGGCTTGAGCTGACCTTGGCAAGGTTTCAAAAGCACAAATATGGAAAACACACATAAAGGCAAAGCTTATTCATTCAATGTAACTTAGGTGATGTAATATATGAACGCGTTGAGTGTTTAGCAAAATGCAAGATTAAAATCACTGACCGAGAAGACAAAGAGTTCGCCGATCAAGTCAACCGCAGCTTGAACAGCCTTCTCCTCATTCAAGGGCCGAATCTCAACATCGGTGGCGTGACCGTAGATGCGCCGTTGCATCTTCGTGGTGATTTGATGGTTTGACTGATCCCAAAATCGTAAATTAATAACGGAAAAACGAAGGAGTGGGAAAGTTGCATTGAGAATTAAAATTGGAGGGAATGGAAGGAACCTGGGCCATGTTAACGATGAGCTGGCGGAACCGGGGGTGACGAACGGCCTGCTGCTTCAATCTACTGGCGAAGGGTTTGCTTAGGGTTTTCAAGGCCAACGTTCCGAGTTTCAAGAGTGGGAGCACCATATTTCAACTTCAATCTAATCAATTCAAATCAGTTGATGAATCATACACACACCAAATGTTAAATACTATTTGAATTGTTGTAAGGTGGTTGGTTTTCTTGACGAGCAAGAACGAACGAAGGAAAGCAACGTTGAAGTCAATCGCGGCGATAGGAATAAAAAGGGGCAACGCATTGCATCTTCCACGAAATTGATATCATAAGGTATTGCACTGCGTTGATTGTCCACACTCTCTGCAAATGCAAAATGTAAAACCAAACTCTTGTCATTTAATTTGGATCAAAGAAGTGAAATTAAGAAAGTTTACGCCAACTCTCACCTTAGACATTTGTATAAGTTTTTTTTGTCGCACGGTTATAAATTATCGTATACAATTAATTTATTATTTCTTACAATAAAAAGATATGTATATAATAAATTTATTGTTTATTAAATGTTACAAGTTGTATTAATATGAGGAGTTAATTCACTACTAAATCGAACAAAATACATTAAAGATTTCAATACATTAAAGATTTCAATAATTCAATCGTGATTAAATCTATATTGATAAAATAATATATGTTGAATCTGTAATTGAGTCAATATTGAGAGATGGGTTAATCTTGAATCTTTACTTTTCATATTGATTCAGTTTTTATCTCATGGTTATGGGTGCTCCTCATTTCATGCATGCACGATCATATTTGATCTTAAAAAAATTTGGGAAGTTGTTATTTAAACTTTACACAATAACACGTATATCGAAATATAATCCCTAATTAATGATTAATATATAGAAGTAAATCGAATTTTTATCTTCAATTTCACTCTAAACTAAACTTTAATGTTTCGTCTCTAGATAAGAAACTCTCTATCATATTATTATTTGAACAGAATTTTATATTGATATGATTTTTAAACTAATTATTACTATTTTTTATGTTTTTAAATTAATTATTATAAACTCAACAAATTTTAGAACTTGTAATTTCGAATGTTGTATGAAATTGTTTTATTATATGAATCCTAATCTATTTCATTTAACTTTTTATCATTCCATTCACTGAAATCCATAAGGTTACGAAAGTTTCTAAAAGCTAATTTCAGAAATAGGTATTTATTCGACTCCAGCGATATATTTTTGTAAGACCTCGGTATAATTTATTAAAAAATATAAAATTAGGAGAGAAAAATCATTAAATCAGAGTAAAGAAATTTTTAAAATCATGTCAGAAAAGCGTATTATTTTTTTGAAGAAGAAGAATTAAAAAAATTAAAGTGACTTAAAAAAAACTATTTAACACTAATACACAACAGGGGAGAAAAAAAAGTGCAAAAGAACTAACCCTTCGCTCTCAAAAAGAGATGATATATATTGATAGAACCGAACACTTCAAATTACGCCTCTGTGCTGCTTCCTCCAAATGAATAGCCTTCTTCTTCTTCTTCGCCACCCTCTTCTGCCTCTATCTGTGGCCACCGCCAAGTTACCATTACCACCCTTTCCCCAAACCTATTATGCATCTAAACGGATACGGTAATTTCCTCTAAATCTCTTTTCTTCGCTTTTTATCACTGTTTCTTTCGTGCTCTGATTTCACTCTGTTATATTTAGAATGATTCCTGAAATATTTAACGGATTCTCTTCACGTCCCACAATCGCTACATTTTGCACTACCAACAAAGGTGCGTTTACCTACTTACCTTTAACTTTCCCTGTAGGCTTTTGATAATAACACATGTTCTGACAATCGTTTTTCTTTTTTTTCTATTTTAGACTTGTCAACTAGTAAGTGTGTACTGTGCAATACAAAGGACTTGCAGCCCATGACCCACGATGCAGCACGCACTCTGCTTCCACAGGTTTACGCAAATTATGTTATCTTTAAAATGTTCAACTCAAAAACCCTATAGCGGGATAGGGGAGTAGCCGCTATTTAGAATTCGACTTTATATATTTTATATAATCTATACATCATATCCATATAAATTCTCAAATAATGATAAAAATTACGCAAAAGTAAGGCCATTCATACGTTTAGAGTTTTTTTTTTTTTTTTTTTTAATCAACACCTCTATTCAGCTCGTTATGGTCCACTACGACGCTATGGCGCAGTATTTGACACGTTGATTCAACTTATGTCAATTTAAGTATCAATGTATTTGTTATTGACATTAAGTGGTCAGATTGCCGAATGGAATTTGGTGAACGAGGATGATGTATTGAAATTGAGGAGATCATGGAAAGTGAAGACTTTTACCAAAGGGTTGGAATTTTTCAGGATAATAGCTGATCTTGCTGAAGCTGAAGGTATTATTTCTGCTTCCTTCTACTCTCCCTCCCATCTATGTTATGGGAGAAAAGGTTTAACAATGAAGTTTTATAATGTAGGTCATCATCCTGATCTTCACCTTGTTGGCTGGAATAATGTTACTATAGAGATTTGGACACATTCTGTGGGTATGAATACTTCATTATTCAAATTATTCAATCAAAGTTGGTTTCTGAGAAATAAAAACATCAGAAGATTATGTTCAGGCAAAATTGACCCATAACGAAAAGCTCTCTGTGTTGGCTTAAGCAAACCCCTGGATCTTCTTTTCGAAAACTGTGTGGTGCTCTTCATTCTTTTGGCTTTTATAACAGCCAAGATTGATCCTTATCTTTTCATCCTATTCACCTGTACATTCATGACATGCACTTTATGTTGACAAGATTGTAACTGGAAATTCCAGTTCAGAAATCTGTCAACTTATCTCAGCTCCTTTGGAAGTCACAACAAAATAGCATTGGACCTTTACAGTAGGGTGAGGAAATTTCCATGCTTACAGGTGTTCTAATACTATCACTGACCAAATACATTTTTTATTTGCTTCAAGGAGCTAATATGGCTTATTCTAACTACCCCAGCCCTTCTTTTTACTGAACTATTTTTGGCGCTGTCCAATATGTTATTATCACTTGACCTGACTTATCCTTCTATGTTACAAAGTATGGCAATGCATGCGTTTCCCTCAAGAGCATCATTGGAAATATGTAAAGCACTTAAGCTCATATTGTGATATCTTTAGGGACTGCTCCATATGGTCTTTATAAATCTCATGACCTGTAGCATCAAGCATTCTGTGATTCTGACCATTCTAATGACTAGAAACCCACTACAGGTTATTGTATTTTCTTTGGCTCAATCTGGTATCCTGGTCTTCTAAGAAGCAATTTGTTATGGTGCAGCACTTAGGCTGAATACAGAGAACTTGCTGCTGTAACCACTGATCTATTGTGAATTCAGTCCCTACTAACTGATCTACAAGTTGCTGTTTAAGCTCCTAATATATATTGTGAAATCTCAGTGCAATACTACCTGCTGCTAATCCTGTACTCCATTCTTGCACCACTTTCAATTGGATCTTCATTTGTTCTTGAAAAAGTTATGCAGCAGTGAGGGTTATTCATCTTCCCTTTTAATTACAAGTAGCGGATATTGTCATCGAAGCTATGTCCAGGTCTCAGTGTGGTCATTTTCCAAACTCAGTTTTGCCTCCTTAAACATTGAGTTTGAGAGTGGCTGCTAAGGTAGCTTAGTCATTTAGACAGTTGATACAGATGTATGTTTTCAGCAGTTTGTTAGGTTCAGCAACTGTCTAAATATCTTTTAATCACTGATCAATCAATGGATGAAATCATTTTCACCTTTCTCACTCAAAATTCAATAATATTTTCTTTGATTCTTCTCTTTGGTTTCTTGACCTGATAAGTAATTCTAAACAATTGGGCTCTGCATCATGATAATATGTTTAATGAAACCCGTAGACAAGCACAATTCTGGGTACCAGTGATGCAATTTTTGTCCAGATTGATTCTGATTTATTTGTCATATGAATCCATGTATGAAATTAAGAGTCATTTTGTTGGTCCATACCATAGCTATTGCATTTTCTTCTTAGTTGCGTATGAGATTGCATATCTTGAATTTTTTTTTTTTTTAAAAAGGTCTTCCCTACATGTTCAACTCACTTGTATCTGTAATATTGGTAGCACGTATTGTATATTTTAACTTGGACAGTATCATTGCTTCGTTCCAACGCTGTCTAACTTTGTCTCAAATTTCCCATTCGCTCTTTTCTTGACTTTTCTACATCATACTTCATTTGTTTATATCCATATGTGGGCATTATCTAAAGTAATCCATTTTTATGTAGGTGGCCTGACGCAGAATGACTTCATTCTTGCTGCTAAGATCAATGAGCTTAATTTGCATGACTTGCTTAGACGAAAGGCTTCCAACTGAGTTATCAAAAGAAATCCAAGTGTCAGTAAGGCTTTGCTTTTCTTTATTACTAGGCAATGAGCTATCCTTCTAATCATTTGGAAGCTCTCGTCCGATCTGTTAATTTGTCTCTACCATCATGTGTGATGTAAATAACATACAAGTTTAGCGTGAAATCTCCATGACGGTAGTTGAAAAAGAGAACCATAAATTAGGATGCTTAAGACAAGAACCAAAATAAGGTACACCAAGCTTCTGTTGGGCATGAACTCATAAATCAAGAGTTTTTCTTTTTGTTGAACACCGCAGCCAAATAAGCTTTACAAGATTGGTGCTGAAATTTAGTTTTTAACTGAACTTTACGTTTGAACTCCTGCAGCCCTTGGCCAGTCCATGGGACTCACAGCAGCTATCTTTGTCCCATTGGCATGTAGACCCTGATAAGACATTATTAGGACTATATACAATCTGAACAACAAAGTACTAATACCTCGGTGGAATTAATCATGTCATGTCAATTGTGGAAAATCCATTCGTGCATTGGCATATGGTTGATATATCAAATGTTGGAATATTAATTTATTCCCTCTCCCTTCTGCGATGGCATTCCTTCTCAAAAATTATTTTTAATGTCAGTGGAAGATTCACAGGAATGATTAGAAATATCATAATTCAATAATTAACATATGAGTTTTTAGAGGCTTTGGCAAGGTTTAACTTGATTTATTAATATATCTATATAACCTTTAGATTTTGATATCAACAATACATGATTTTTCTAAATGGATTATTTAGTTATGGATTATGGAGCCCGTAAATGACAAGCAGAATACTTGCATTACTAAAAAATATGGAAAATAAGTAGAAAAAAATGCAATCACTGGAGAGAGTCCAGTTTTAAAATCTCTCCATTCGTCATTGTTTTTACTATATGTTTTTTATATTAAAATTATTAAATATAAAAATTGAACGAGGGGTTGAAGTATCATTCCATTAGACAAAATTGGAGAGAATGTTAACCCACATCACTGTTGTATCTAAGTGCGTAAAACTTAAAGCCATAGCTCTGAGGGAAATTCAGAGGTATTCTCTTGCTGGTATAAAATAAATAATAAATAAATAAAAAGTTGAATGATGTTATTATTTTCTGATCTTTTGGATAAATGTCTTTTTAGTTTTTCAATTTTAAAAATTATTTTAATCTTTCAGATTTAGTAAAGTATTTTAATTCTTAGATATTAAATTTGAATTTAAAAAATTATTTTAGTTCTTTATAATTAGTATTTAAGAACTAATATTTTTGAAATGTTAATAGACTAATTTTTTTAATTAAGTGAAACAAAAACCAGAATTAGTCTAAATTTTGAGAATTAAAAACATAATTAAGTCAGTTAAAATACATTAAATAAATGTTACATCATGCTTTTGTAAAATTAAATAAATTTATATTTTTAATTTAACAAAAAAAATTATTAATTTATTTTTTACTAAAATTTAAAGTAAAACATTTGTATACTGACTGATATTTTCGTATGCATGGATAAATGTTTATTTTATATAACTAGATTTTATAATAAATAAATACTTTTGCACATATAAATTATATTATATCTAAAATATTTTTAGTAAAAGATATTTTTAAACTATAAATAATTTACAATGTGTTATCAGATTGTTTTTACTCTTTTTTTTTACATTAAAATTGAAATGAAAATGAAAATAAAAAAAGTTTCGAAAACATAAGAGATTAAGAAAAATTCTTTAAAATGTTCTTGAAGTTTGACTCTCCTAAAACCCCTTTCGTTCATGATAGTTATTTTAATTTATATAGCGAGGTTTTCACTTATATATCTAACATTTTAATTCAAATAATATATAAATATATAAGTTCATAAATATGAGAATATTAAAAGGAGAAAACTTAAGAACTAAACTATATTTTTTAGTGAATTGTGTGATTTTATTATTATTATTATTATTATTATTATTATTATTATTATTTAAATTCGTTATTTGTTATATTAATTAATTTAGACTTTCAAACTTAAAAAAAAAATAGTGTGGAAATCGATTATTTTAAAATATTTTAGTTCTAACTGAAATTTTTATACTTTTAAAATAGTTTAAAACATTTAATATATCATTCATCATAATCTAAAATATAATTTATTCATAAAAAAAAATTGTTAAAAAAATTAAATATAATATAGTTTTGTATAGTTAAAAGTATTTATTCAAAAAATATTTATACAATATAATGTATCTGTTAAAATGCTATAGAGTGAATAAAAAATACGTTATTACAGTGGAGACTGTACAATAAGATATTACATTGATTAAACAAAAAATTGTTGAAAATGAAATAAAAGAACGTGTATTATTATAAGAGCGTAATGTTATTTAATTTATATTGGATTAAACCAATTTTTTAACCACTATTTAAGTAAAAAAAATATTGCCGATATTGTAAAAAAATATATTATTAATGAATTTGATGTCGAAAAAATAATTGATAAGTTGTTATTAAAAAATATATTATACAATAATATATTTAATTTAAAAATGTATTTTATGCTCCCTCCTTTGTGCAGATCAATGGTTTATCCCTTTCAGATTCCAATTTTTTAGAATTCAAAACTTGTGTTCTTCTCCGTGTTCTAGTTGTACTAATCAATAATTTCTAATAAAATAGGGTTGGAATATTTATCAAGTTGCTATTGGTTGTCAAATCATGAAGCAACAATGAAGGTCAATGATCCTTGTTGCATATTAAATATTGATTGAAATGATGACCAATGAATTCCACCTAGTTTTGTAGTTTATAACTCAAGACTTTTCTAATAAAACCCCAACCCTCCACAATTCCTCAACTGGGAGTTCTAGGAAGGAACAACATAAAGATGAAGTTCCATAAGGAGTACCTTGATTTGATTTTGGTCCCTTCAGGATTGCTAATCATGTTTGCTTATCACCTCTTCCTGCTTTACAAATATATCAATCGGCCTCACACCACAGTGATGGGATTTGAGAATAATGACAAAAGAATTTGGGTTGAAAGAATTATGCAGGCAAGTGATTAATCCTCATGACCCTTTTCTTTTGTTTGATTGAAACCCTTTTTTTTTATTTTTGGTTTTGGTTTTATGATTGGTAATGATCAGGCTGACAAAAGGGATGTTAGCACAGCTCTGTCTGTGCTTCAATCCAACACTACAGCTGCTACATTCTTGGCCTCTGTCTCTCTGACTCTCAGTTCCCTTATTGGAGCTTGGATTGCCAACAGTTCCAACATTTTCTTCCAAAGCCAATTGATCTATGGTGACACTAGACCAGCAGCCATTAGTATCAAGTACATTTGCCTGTTAACATGCTTCCTTCTAGCTTTCGCATGCTTTGTGCAATCAGCTAGACACCTTGTTCATGCAAACTATTTGATAAGCACTCCAGATAGTTTTGTCCCTGTGAGTAGTGTGGAAATAGCAGTCATTAGGGGTGGTGATTTCTGGTCACTTGGTCTAAGAGCCCTCTATTTTGCTCTTGATTTGTTGCTTTGGTTCTTTGGGCCAATACCTATGTTTATTTGCTCGCTGGCTATGGTGCTTGTCCTCCAATATCTTGACTCTAATTCAAGGCCATTGCATCCTAATGTCTCTCATGGAAGTAAGAGAGGCTTTAACATGTCATGAGTATCCTATGTTTATGTTTGATTAATATCCTTGGAACATTGAATTATTATCTTTTTTATTCAAATCAAGTATTAGAAGTTTTTTATTATATTTTACAACAAAGAGATAAAATAAGAATAGAGTAAAAGTGAAATGGATAAGAACCGTAGAATACAAAATTTGAATAGTTATAAATCATGTTTAAAAAATCTAATAAGAGTTAGGGATTTAAACTTATAATAGCAATGTCGTGTTTTTTTAATAAATGTAATTAGAGTGATGGATAATAAGAAGGAATATTTTTCTTACAAGCAAAGATCTGTTTTTGACTTGTAATTGTGAATGACAATAGATAATTGCTTGCGCCACAAGTGGGTGTGATTCACTTTCTTGCTTGCACGCAATAGAATAAGACAACTACAATCATAAATAAAAAATGCAAAAATAGTGCAACTTTTTCTCATAATCCATATTTCATATAACCGACCAATTTGAAGGAGTGTGTTCTTGTGATTCGCAAAAACGGGATATGGAAATAGACATGTTGCGTCTTACTCTCTATCTTTTCTTAAGCTTAGCTTATACATCTTTATTTAATAAGATTTGTTTCAGAAATCTTATGATTTATAAAATTACACTCACAACCTATTTTTTTTTTCTCGAGACTTAAATAAGATGAAATTCAGTTATTTATTCATTAATTAGTTAGAAATGGCCTACACATTATGGGCCTTGTCCCTGTTTGTTGTGCAGTTCAACATTTTGGGCTAAATGGACTGTGGAAATAACCTACTTTTTCAAGTCATGTACTTTTGTATTTTTGAGAATGAAGGATAACTTGGTGATTAAAGGATAAAATTACATTAGAATATTCTTAACACATGCTATGCAAACACATCATTGATGAGAATGAAGATGATGATTTTGATATTGAGAAGGTAATAATTTGTTTGCATGGTCCATGCCTTGGAAAGAAGAGAAGGAGACAGACTATAATCATAGGTGGTGGTGTTGAGACATGCGTGTGACGGAGACTATTCACACAATTTTATAATTATAATAATTCTCATCACTGCAAAAGCTCAACCAGTCCATTGAAAACGACATATTCTGTTTCTCACACAAATTTTACAACATCAAAAATACAACCTCATATCCTAAATTTTTCATATGGAAACCTTTTATCTTATGTGAATTTATTTAAAAAAATAATAATCAATAATTATAGGATTTCACGCAGTACTATTACTAGACAAAACGTAAACTGATTCAATTTTTTTATCTCGGTCAATTTTATTCTCTGCTACTTCTTCTATCGTATCTCTACAATGTTCATGTTATTATATTCTTTATTCTTTTAACTAAATTTATTTATCTTATCCAATAATAAAGAACGTGGAAACATTCCTTTTCAATGTTCATCCACCTAAGTGGCTAAGTACAAATGGTTTCAAAAAATTTAAATAAAAATTTAGAATCTTTATGAATAACAAAATTCAAAGAGGATTTCTTTCCATAAATATGAAAATCAAATATTTTAATCAAAATTAGTCATTGATCAAATCGACAAAAGTTCTCACTAATGACACAATTAAAGAATGCACTCTTTTAAATTAAAAATTCAATCAATTTAACTACTAAATTTTTTAATAGATAAAATTTACTGCATGTAGATGGCTTTTTTTTTAATCCTTCCTTTATTCACAAACATGAGTAAAATCAATAAAATAATTATATATATATATATATATATATATATATATTAAAATAGTTAATATTTTTAAGGAATTAAGTCAATTATATAAGATAATATAACATCATTTTTAATCTAAAATTTTAAGATAATAGATTATGAAATTTTCTCACTTTTAAGTTACTCAACTTTCTTATTTTTACCAAAATAAAACTTCAAACTCACACTTGAGTTCTCAACAAAAACATAAACATTAAATTTAAAATTTGAGAAAAGAAACAATTAATTTTAATAAATAATTCAATAATAGACATTTTAATATGCACACTTTATATATTTCACCAGCATAATCATTTACTGCATCCTCTTATCAATATTGTAACCTAATAAAAAATATCCTAAAATATGTTAATCATTTAATAATTGTGAGTAATTTAAATGTTTTATTTATTTTTTATATTATAATAATATTTTTGTTATATACGATTATAATTGATGAATTCGCGAAATTTCTTTTAAATAAATTTTAGACGAGTGATAAATTATCTTTACAAATATTATTATATTACATTTAAATACTCTTTTATATATATATATATATATATATATATATATATATAATTTATTAATGATCTATGTACATAAAGCTGGTTTCTCTTTAACAATAATTATTAAAAAATTTATAAATAATTAATAATATATACAAATTAAATACATTTTTTTTATCTTGTATTGAACATCAATCTCATATTTTACTTAAACTCACACAAATGTATTACCATAGGATATTAACTCATATTTTATCTATCACATGTTTTTATTTCACAGTTAGAAACAAAGTATCCATTAATTTGGTTTTGTTTCCTCTCCACTTAAGTAATCTTATATTGCTTATAGTTAAAGTCAATTTACTTGTGCATCATCCCAAAACTTAAGCAAACTACCTCTAAAATAAGATCAATCATTTTGTGTTGTTATTTGCTTAAGCATCACCCTAACGTTGAGTAACTAATGACTAATAAATAGAATCAACTTTCTCTCTTTGTATTAATATTTTGCTTAACAACCCACACAAGGGAAGAGACAGAGGGAATTGGAAGAGGACATGATCCTTAGAAATAATTCAATTTCTTTTATGTTTTATTAAAAAATATTGTATGGCCCCACAAAAGAAATTATATGCTTTGGTCCCTTCAAATTAATATTTTTTACTCCTCCACTGATCCCACATGTCACTTTGACCAAAAGAATTAGAAAATCAACTCTCTTTCCTTAGCAAGTCTTTCCTCTTAAATGTCTATTTGTCACTTAAATTAAAACTTTTTTTTTCTATCATATTCGGATACCTCACTTGAACAACCTACATCCAACTTGAGTAAGATTTTTATAATAATAATTTCCTCTCCTCTAGTACCCTGTATTTAATTGAACGTTAAATGCATAAATGCATTCACTACTACAGAAAAGGCTTTTTACATCGGTTAAAATGGGCTTTCGACGTCGGTTAAAGCGGCGACATAGATACGGGGGTCATAGAAAGTAGGACTTTCTACGTCGGTTAATAGGAACCGACGTAGAAAGCCCTACTTTCTTTGAGCTATTATGATCGGTCAAACTGGTTATGATCGGTCATAGAGCTATTCTGATCGATCATAACTGGTTCCGATCGGTCACAGAAAAACTTTCTACGTCGGTTAGTCAAGGAACCGACGTAGAAAGTCTTATTTTGTATGAGCTATTCTGATCGGTCATAATCGGTTTTGATCGGTCATGAAGCTAATCCGATCGATCATAGTCGATTCTGACTGTCGTAATACTTTCTATGTCGGTTAACACTTATAACCGACTTTCTATGTCGGTTAAAATTATAACCGACATAGAAAGTACTTTCTACGTCGGGTAATGACATAACCGACGTAGAAAGTGTTATTTTTTTTAAAATACCTGCATTTTATTTACGAGATGCTACCTTTCTTCGAGTAGACCTGCCTATTCATCACAGTTCCGGACAAATAACCACAGATCCGAGTACAGACGAGATATGCACAGTTCATATATAAATTTGCTACGGATATATATCCAAGACAGATTGATTCAGCTGAGTGCATGATATGTACATATGAAACACATTGAAATGAATATATGTACAGACAGATCCAGTTCCAGATAGTTCATTTACTTAAACGAATGTAAATTTCCTAACTTAAATCAATTCTATCTAAATTGTTACAAGTTAAATTTCCTATGAAGATTGAATACTTAAATTTCCTATCAAGTTGGAGCATTCTCCCAAAATCCTTCCATATGGTCATAACGGATGGCATGCACATCATCTATTTCTACATTAACACTCAAGTTTGGCATATTTGAAGAGAAACATGGTGTCTCGGGTATATCAAGTACTAATTCATCATTCTCATCGAAGTATACATGGGTTTTCCTTGTAGAACCACTGACCATCCTTTGTTAGCGGGATCAGTGACATAAAACACTTGTTTTGCCCGAGATGTCATGATAAATGGTTCTTCGGTATAACGAGTATTTTCAAGGTTAACCAAGGTAAATCCAAGATCATCGGTGAAGATGCCAGTATTAAAATCAACCCACTTGCATTTAAAAATAGGTACTCTGAATATCGTGTAATCTATTACCCAAATATCTTCAATTACACCAAAGTAGCCCATTGACGCCCTTATCGGATATTTATCCTTTGAACTCGAGAAATGCATTGATTCAGCCACCACCATGACTCCACTATTTTGCATTGTGCTTATTTCATCTTCTCCCTTTGTATAAAATGAATAGTTATTTATATCATACCCACCCCAACATATCACATCAAAGTTTGGCTCACATGCTAGCCACTTTAGTGTATCGAAGTCTGTATTGTCACCTTCAACTTGTTGTTTAAACCACTTCAAAAAGCTCTTGTTGTATTCAGTGATCACCCACTTTTTAGGCATACGTGGATTATTTCGCTTCACAATCTCTTTATGAGCACCTAAGTAGGGGATGACTTCTTCACTGTTATTCAATATGTACAAATGCGCTTGAAGTACTTCATCTCGACACATTGTCACAACTTTTGCACCTCGAGTTCCTCTACCAAGACCTATTCCATGGTAACGAGTCTTAGGTAACCCTATAGGTTCAACTTCTGATAAGTAGTTTGTGCAAAACTCAATAGCTTCCTCTGCAATATATCTTTGAACAATTGATACTTCAGGACGATATTGGTTCTTCACATACCCTTTTAATATTTTCATGTATCGCTCAAAAGGGTACATCCATCGTAAGAAAACTGGACCACAGATTCTAACTTCCCTGG